GTTTACCCAGCCAAACACCTTGCAAAACATTGAAGGCCTCTTCTAAATTCAGTCACAGCGTTGAAGTTCTTCGAATGGTCCAGAATTAGCATCAATCACAAGAAGTACGAAGGCTGCACCTCTTTTTTGATGCAGGTAGCTTATGATCGGTTCCTTCCATGGCACTTAGGGGTACATCTTTTGAGCTGGAGCTAGAAATATCACTCCTGAAACTAATATCTGATTTTCGAAATGAACCATGAGGGGAATGGTTGAGCTTTGATTTCATCTTCTTGAGCAAAGATTGAAGACGCTCCCATTGATTCACAACCGAAACATTTATCCCAAGACTTTTCATGAATGTTTGTGAAATCTTAGGCGTTCCTCATTTGAGACAACAGAACAACTTGGGATCCCCAAGCTTGGGACTAGAGCTAAGAATAGTCAGTCTGGGACTTGGGGTGCGAATGGTCAAGCCAGGAGTAGGAGCAGAAATGGTCAACCCCATATGATGTTGATGCTGATGGTATTGTGTGCTACTTGAGGCGAAGTCATCTCTCAGCTCAGTATCTCCTTTGATATTATCACCGGAGGAAGTTGATCACTTACGCTCAGGAAAACATTGAACCTGAAGCAAGTTCCACGTTCTCCAGGCGCTTTATCCACAATTCCTATATCTCCACCCATCAGACGAACCTGTTGGAAATTAAATGATCGTAACTAAGGCGTTATTTCACTAGGAAATTAATGTTGGATTAAACTAAAGTTGAGTTTAAAAGAATGAAGTTATGCAAAACTATGAAAGTACCAGAGATGAACAATTCCAAGTCCTAAGCCAGTGCCTCCTTGTCCATCTTTGACTTGTACATAATTCTCAAACACCAACTTTTGTTGTCTTTGGGAATTCCTTTACCTGTATCACTCCACTCAAAAACAAATTCCATAGCATTTGGATTGTTACGCGCTGCATTCACAACTGTAAATCATCGTTGCTTATTGCTCTTGTAAAACAATCTGGATAAGCGTTTGTAACAAGCCATTCCGATTAGAAGCTAGCATTGAAGTTTCTAAACTAGGCTTCCGAACCCAAGCTGAACTGATATGCCCCTAGAAGTAAATTTAACAGCATGCTAAGTAAATTGCTTAATATTGCTTGAGCTTCCCCTATCTCCTTTAACATAAGCAAACTTGATCACCGAGCCGTCATAAGGATCTAAACATCAATCGACCCCTTTTTTCATGCCAACAGGATGATACAAGTCCACTACATCCTCAAGAAACTCGCTCAGATTAAAATCTTCATCGACGAGTTTCATCTTTCCAGCTTCAATTTTACTTGTATCGAATAGAGTTTATAAATCTGAAAAACAAAAAAAAAAAAAGTCAATACTTCATTGTTAAGAGCATTACCTGAATCGTTACAGATTGAACAACAATTAAACTTACTCAAAAGATCCTTTGCACAGCCGTCCATTTGTCTTAGATTTGTCTCCACAGTCTGAACCAGGAGCAACTTCATTATAGGATTACTATCAAACCAGTAATGCCTGCTAAGGAAGCACGAATGTCATGACTGGCATGCTAAGGCTGTACTCTTATTCATGCTTTTTCTTTCTCTGCTTGTTGCGTTGCTTCCATTTGTTTAATGAGTGGCAGCACATAGGTGCATCTCCTTTTTGCACCTCTCACCATCATGAACACGAAACTAAGAACGGAGATTACGACGCTGGTAATCATTAAGCAAGAGAATGAGGGCAAACTTGCTAGTTTTGTGAACAAGGCTGACCAGTCCTTTCTGTGGCACGGCCAATGCGCATAACCTGACCAAAAATACGATCAGTTATACATATTATAATTAAATTTGTTACAATAATCATGAGTTTAGTGATATTTCGAAATAATAATCACTGAGCTTAGTGATAGTGAGGCAAAGAACATATACTACCGATTTTACGCCGCGATTTCAAGCGGGAACAGTAAATATTATAATCCGTTGCCGCAATTTTGACAATATTGGGGGCATTACCAGGTGCGCATGAAACATATTCAACGTGACTTAATTGTTGACCATTTGTCTTCTTCAACGTAAGGAATCGAATCATGAGTAACGATCATACGAGTGTTTGGGAGCCCTTCACCAGCACTTCCCCATCGATTGTAGTCATGGACAAGCTCCCACCAAAAAGATTTATACCAGCAGTGTAGAAATCAGTTATTGTTTTAACTGGAAACCCCAAAGAGACAGCCCCTCTAATTCCTCTTACAATAACTGTGTTAAGAAATGAGAATTACCAGCGCTTATCCATCCAGTTCCTAAAGAGGCATATCCAGGTGTGCTATTTAAAGCTTCTTGCAACACAGGTGGTGTTTATACTTGAGGTAGGAATTATAATGGCTCTCTCCATAAACTCTCCCAGTATAATGTCCACGGGTTGTCTGTACCATGTGTAGTTCTTTTTGTCACACTTGACTGAAAGAAAATGAAGAGTTGGAGAACAACAGCTAGAGTTTGATGTGTCTATATAGTAGGAAAAGAAGAAACCATCCAATCCAATATATGAAATCTGTGTGAAATGTGAGGAATGTTGAAAATGCTTCAAACAATGAAGGAGCCACCTGTAACAAACGTGGTCTCTCCATTTTAAATCAACAAATCAATATAAAAAGTAACGTTAATAATTAATGAGACGAGCAATGTTTATATGTAAGAACCTTAGTCTCGATCTTGGAGAAGGAGATTTCAGTTCCATTCAGAGATGAGCTTATAACTTGCTAAATTCGTTGCCATTGAATCATCGGATGTAGTAGTTTTGATACGCTCTCAATCTCTGATTGCAATCCCAAGTGCAAGTTGTAGGTGTCCAAATCCAATCCTGCTTGATACGCTGGTCATCTTATACCAATATGGGGGCGATTATAAACTGGGAGTAGCAGCACCACGAATGCCTGCATTTTTTATTTATTATTTTTTCAAGAGAATATTATAGTTAAATTAAAATCTGAATAAAGTTAACCATTGGCATTAAATAATTACACCATAGAAATATCTGCACTGCTATATTAGTTCGGTATGCATATGGGAATATATGTTAATCAAATACATATGTTCGATTTTTTCAACAACCATATCCAAACTTAAACAGTTGTCAGTGCTTCTTCTCTCTCTCTCTCTCTCTCTCTCTCTCGAGATATATATATATATAAACTAGTAAATAAGAGTAGTAATCAATATCAATTAAAGTTTATTGTGTATTAAGCACTCACCAACAAGTGGAAGACGGTGATGAGAACAGGTCGTGCTGATATCAATGAACTGAGCCATGTGTCTTCAAGTTGTGATCAACGAAAGGTTATATCTGCAATCTCGACGTTAATAGTCAATAAAAACATGAAAAAGTACACACAAATATCTTCACATGCATTGTCATAACTCATAAGTGGTATCCTCCTTCCTCATCCTCCATTTAACAATCTTACTAACTAATAATTATAATGTCATGAATTGTAAGCAAATCTTTAATTAAGAGTGTATTCAAAGTTGCAAGTTTTATGTACTACGTTTTTCATGTGGAGAAAAGTAAAATCCCAAACAACCTTTTATATAAACATCAAATAAAAAGAAAAAGAAGAAAAAAAATTAAACTGTACTTAGATTGATGTTAAAAAAGTGTTTCAAATAAATAAAAATAAAATCTTAATACCTTTCCCCCTCTCATCCTAGAAATCAGGGCTTCAATAAGCTTAGAGTGCTTGGTTGTAGAAGGTGACTGTTATTTTTATAATCAAGTTTAAAAGCTCCTCTTATGAGGGCAAAAGGATTTGTTTTTCCTTTTTAGTGATTTAATGAGCATTAGGGTTTTCCTAATTCTGTTTGGTTAGTGTAAACAGCATTAATGGTTTGGTTATGCAGTCATGTCGGCATTAGGTTTAATTCCTCCAAGAGGAGGGGGTGGGGAGCAAACTGAGACGACCATAAGTTTATCTAAACTCCATCTACGTCTTGAAGGTATTGTGGATAGGGTGGCGGGAAATCAAATGCATGCTAACGGGCTCACCAATCAGTTCATTATTCTATTCTAAATTTCTAATCTATATACTTAAAGTGCTTAACAGATAACTACTGTAATACCTTTTTCTTAAGGTACTAATAATGCCTCCCTACCCTATTCTAAGTATCCCGCCCTTAAGGGTAGGCCTCAGATTTTAAAATAAAATTACTAATATATTAGCTCACAAAAAATTGCTATTAATAAATATATAGACTCAATCTCAGATTTTTTAAAATAAAAATTATTATAATATATCTAGCTACAAAAAAATTGTTATTAATATATATTTTTAAGCCCAGATTATTAAAAGTTTTAAAACTATCTCTATTTTTTCTCACAGTTCCACCGCTTTTTATGAGTTTATCCCTAAAATTTTATCTCTTATTTTTTTCTCATGCTATTCGCTTTTAAAACTTTTAAAAATTAAAATTGTTGAAGCTTTCACTATCAGGTGTATATTGCTCGTTTCAAATTTAATTTATTTTTAGATTGAATCATGCTTTTTTTTTTTTAAAGATTTTTATTCTAATTTAAAGAAAAAAGACATGGATCTTATAGTTATTTTGTTTTGTATCTAAGATGAACATGTTTTCCCAAACTAAATTTAAATATATTTTAAGACGTTATTCTTCCCCCTTCACCACCACTTCTCACATTTCAAATGTCACCTTCAACTCAAAATTATTAATAAAATTTGAGTTACTAATTATTATATCAAGGAAAGTGTATTTAGACCAAGTTTTTATTTTCAAAATTGTTACTAATTATTGCCCAAGGTTCCTGAAGAAATTAAAATTGAATTAAAAGCCATTAAGATTCTCTTATTTTTTCTACTTGCATTGTTTTTTTTTTTTTTTCTTTAAGGTAGATGTTAAAAGAAGCTTTCTTTTGTTTCAGTATCTTCATTCAACCTTGTTACTATTGTTTCCTTGATCTGTTTTTTAGGTGTAGAAGTCATAAGTTTTTTTGTTTAATTTATGCTTATGTGCTTATGTTTGTAATTTATCCTGAAAGAGAAGGTGATCTCAATACTGTATGTGTGTTTAAGCTTAACTAAAATTCATTTATTTGTTCTGCTCATAACGTTCTCAGGTCGTTCAAGGTGATGTGCTGAAGACTGATCTTCCCTATTTTGACATATGTGTGGCAAACATTCCTTACCATATCTCCTCTCCCCTCACGTTCAAGTTGCTATTTTACCAACCTGCCTTCAGATGTGCCGTCATTATGTTTCAGAAAGAATTTGCAATGAGACTGGTTGCTCAGCCTGGCGACAAGCTCTACTGTCGTCTTTCTGTGAATAACCAACTCTATGCTCGAGTCTCCCACCTCCTCAAAGTCGGAAAGAGTAATTTCCGTCCACCACCTAAGGTTGATTCTTCAGTAGTTCAAATTGAGCCTAGAAAACCACGTCCTCAATTGAATCCGAAGGAGTGGGATGGATTTATAAGGATGTGTTTCATACGAAAGAATAAAACCCTTGGCTCAATTTTCAGGCTGAAAAATGTCCTTTCTCTGCTTGAGAAAAACTACAAGACCCTACAGGCACTAGGGTGCTCACATAGTACTTCCATAGAGAATATTGATATTGGAATGGATATATCGAAATTGGGAAATTCTAATGAGGATCAAAGTATGGAGATGGATGGTGGAAGTGATGATGAAATGGAGTTGGAGAATGGTGATGATGAAGGCGATGCAGAAAGTGAGGTTTCTGAGTTCAAAGATAAGGTTTTGGGTGTGTTGAAGGAGGGACAATTCGAAGAGAAGAGAGCATCTAAGCTCACACAACAGGAGTTTTTATATCTACTTTCATTATTCAACAAGGCTGGCATACACTTCTCTTGATGCAGAGTCATAAAGATTTAATATGTATCTGAAGAATACCCAATTTTGTGTTGTATAGCAAGTAGTCCTTTGAGTATAGGTTTTGTTTTGTTCTTAATTTCTTGCGGCAGTTGTGATTGAGTTTGGACCTGTGCAACAAATCAATTATGATGAGAATTAGTCATGTGGAAGGGGATGTTAATCATACGGATATACCTCTTCATGGTTTGACATTTATTTTTCCATATAGTAACTTTAGAAAGGTTTATAGCTCTCCATTGGTTCTCAGAAAATCTTCAGAAGATGTGACTTTATCCTTTTTGTACAGGATCTTCTAATCGAATATTTATGTCTGTATACTCGGACTGGGTTTTCATGTCAGCTAATTAAGCACATTGAATGAAATAAAAAACTAAGCTTGACGAGCGCGAATCAATTCTATTCATATTGATTAATGTTCACAAACCTGTTCATAAGCAATCGAAGCCGTGACGCTGACTGTACTGTTATACTATTTTTTCTCAGAAATCCTTGATCTATTATCTGCAATTTATCTTACTCAATTATGGCGCTCTAAGTTAAACTCAGGGTTTATATATCTTAATTAGTCTTCATCTTTGTTAATTTAATTGACAATGGTGATCGTTAGATCATTCATTTAGATGTATGATGAAATTTGGATGGATATCACTATTCGCAAAAGTTTACTGTCTATGAACGTGCAACAATTAATGAATTAATCATTAAAAATCTAAAAAAAAATTACGACTTTCGGTTGGGAATATATGAGACTTGACTGAATACGCCATCAATTAACATTAGAATACAAAGTGAAAATAAAGCAATTTGCAAATATGAGTGGGTATATTTGTTAATTAAAAAACACGTGACCACGAAAGAGATTTTCATAAGTATCGGTTTGAGAAACGAAAAGCCTGCCATTCCAATCCGCTCCGCCGCCTTCTTCCCACTTCCCAGCGACGAGGAGGTAAGTTCTCCTACCCCTTGGCTTTTCTTTTTACTAATTAGAAGAGAGCTTAAAATTAAAGCATTTCTCTTGGTTGAGAGGGCCGGCAATGAAATTGTCTATCAACTGAGAAATATAAAATAATAGAATTCATATCATATACATGCTATTTCGGATTTCCTAATTAATCTGTATTTATACAGTTTTTGCAAGTTTCCTCTGCGTGCCCTAATAGATTTTTGCAATTTAATTTTGGCTCTTTGGAAGCTTATTTATGCATTCAAATTAAATGGGTTATTTGGTATATGTCGATCTTATGTACCTAATGCACTGATATACATAAATTATTCGAGCTTCTCATTATTATCCTCTTTTAATTTTGTTGTCTGGTTCTTAATTTAATTTGTCATTTTCCTCCTGTTGTTAAACTGGTAATGTTGCAGTAGATGGAGGCTCAATTACACGATGCGATTCCTCTAAGCCTCGTTGGGCTACACTTCGCCTTGGGTCTGAAATATATTCAGTGAATGCGGCTAACAAGGGTACTCTTTCAGAGCAGTTAGCTTCAATGAAAGAGGAAAGCATGAACATATTGAAAGACTTCATCACCAAACACAATGTCCCAAATGATGTTCCTGATGAATTAGTTGAAATCTCTTCTGAAGAGGCTGATGTCCCTGAGAAACCTCATGTCAAGTCAAAAAACAAAGTTAACTTAATACTTCTCTATTCTGGGTTTAAACCCCAAAATTTCTATGGGAGAGTCTTATTATGTCTGTAAAACTTTCTGTAGCTAATACTGTCTACTAGCTTTTCGTATTGCACTTCCTGTTTAATACTTGCAAATTCTATTAGGCTGATGCTTACTGATTTTAGCTATTCTCCTTGATGCGTTTGTAAAACGATTTTTTTTTTTAATCTGACTTGTTAAACAGGACCAATCTCTCTTAAGAACAATGAAAAGAATGCACAAATTTGCCAAAATACACAAGGTGATGCTAAATCCTCTTTTTGTTTGACTTGAATCAACTTCAGACTTAGCTCAATGTTTTTGGCTACAGTTCTGCATCTACCACGAACTGAAACAGGTAGAATTTTTGCTATCGCTTACATTTCTACCCAGCTTCTATTTCACATTTTAATAAACAACAACAATGCTGCATAGGGATACAGCATATGCTCAAACAATCCTTTGTTGTGGATGTATCTGATGGCTTCCATGAGATGTTCCTTATTCAATGGCTTGACTAAATGAACGTCCATTCCAGCCAGAATTGTTTCATCTCCTACTCTCCTGAACCATGAGCAGTTAATGCAATGATTGGATATGAACTACCATATCGCTTCTCTTCCTTGCGAATCTGTTTCGTTGCTTCTTTGCCATCCATTTTTGGCATCTGCAAAAACACAAAATTCTAACTCAACTTTAAAGGACAATGGTTCCAGTGTTTTTTCCAGAAATGCTGCAAAGTAATCATGCATATGTACTTGAATATTTGTGTTTCGATTTTATATCTAACTGTAAGCTACTTGAATATCAATATGCATTATTTGAAGAGAGAGTATAAGTGGAAACATAATCTTTCACCTCGCAGTCCATTATATAAAATCGTAAGGAATGTCAGGAGCTAGACCAGACGGACTTTTTGTAGAGCTTCTTCGCCATTTCACATGATCACAGTTGCACCAAGATTCTCAAGACTTCGCACGGCGAGTCTGCGTAATAGTGGACTGTCATCAGCGACCAAGATTCTCTTCCCACTCAAGGGTTTCCATCACTTGCTTCACCATATTCTTCTTGTATTCTGTCTGTGTAGGTAGTTTCTATCCTTCGATTTTTCACTGCTTGAGATCCCCTGTTCTGGGTCTCTATTTTTGACCTTATATAAGAGCTCTTTGCATATGACTGACTGGGATCTCTAGAAGTCTCCCCAACTTGAAATCTGCTTTTCTCATTGATCTAGCCGCATTTCCTTGTGATAAGGTACCCCCAAATTCTGGTAGAAACTTATTATCTTACACAAACGAGACCCTGAAAAGGTTTTGTTTATTTTCGTCGTTGGATCAAGCATCTCCCCTTCATCGAAATGACTGCTACGTGAGTTGGTTACCTACCAAACAACCTTGCAATACATTGAAGCCTCTTCTAATTCAGTCAGCGTTGTAAAGTTCTACGCCGCACTGGTGCTGTGTCTTCGAGGTCAGATTAGCATCAATCACAAGAAGTACGAAGGCTGCACCTCTTCTTTTGTATGCAGGTAGCTTATGATCGGTTCCTTCCATGGCACTTAGGGGTACATCTTTTGAGCTGGAGCTAGAAATATCACTCCTGAAACTAATATCTGATTTTCGAAATGAGCATGAGGGGAATGGTTGAGCTTTGATTTCATCTTCTTGAGCAAAGATTGAAGACGCTCCATTGATTCACAACCGAAACATTTATCCCAAGACTTTCCATGAATGTTTTGAAATTCTTAGGCGTTCCTCATTTGAGAATCCGAACAACTTGGGATCCCCAAGCTTGGGACTAGAGCTAAGAATAGTCAGTCTGGGACTTGGGGTGCGAATGGTCAAGCCAGGAGTAGGAGCAGAAATGGTCAACCCCATATGATGTTGATGCTGATGGTATTGTGTGCTACTTGAGGCGAAGTCATCTCTCAGCTCAGTATCTCCTTTGATATATCACCGGAGGAAGTCTGATCACTTACGCTCAGGAAAACATTGAACCTGAAGCAAGTTCCACGTTCTCCAGGCGCTTTATCCACAATTCCTATATCTCCACCCATCAGACGAACCTGTTGGAAATTAAATGTATCGTAACTAAGGCGTTATTTCACGTAGGAAATTAATGTTGGATTAAACTAAAGTTGAGTTTAAAAGAATGAAGTTATGCAAAACTATGAACTACCAGAGATTGAACAATTCCAAGTCCTAAGCCAGTGCCTCCTTGTCCATCTTTGACTTGTACATAATTCTCAAACACCAACTTTTGCTTGTCTTTGGGAATTCCTTTACCGTATCACTCACCTCAAAAACAAATTCCATAGCATTGGATTGTTACGCGCTGCATTCACAACTCGTAAAGTCATCGTTTGCTTCATTGCTCTTGTAAAACAATCTGGATAAGCGTTGTAACAAGCCATTCCGATTAGAAGCTAGCATTGAAGTTTCTAAACTAGGCTTCCGAACCCAAGCTCGAACTGATATATGCCCTCAGAAGTAAATTTAACAGCATTGCTAAGTAAATTGCTTAATACTTGCTTGAGCTTTCCCTATCTCCTTAACATGAGCAAACTTGATCACCGAGCCGTCATAAGGATCTAAAATCACTCGACCCCTTTTTCATGCCAACAGGATGATACAAGTCCACTACATCCTCAGAAACTCGCTCAGATTAAATCTTATCGACGAGTTTCATCTTTCCAGCTTCAATTTTACTTGTATCAGAATAGAGTTTAATAAATCTGAAAAACAAAAAAAAAAGTCAATACTTCATTGTTAAGAGCATTACCTGAATCGTTTCAGATTGAACAACAATTAAACTTACTCAAAAGATCCTTTGCACAGCCGTCCATTTGTCTTGATTTGTCTCCAAGTCTGAACCAGGAGCAACTTCATTATAGGATATACCTATCAAACAGTAATGCCTGCTAAGGAAGCACGAATGTCATGACTGGCATTGCTAGGCTGTACTCTTATTCATGCTTTTTCTTTCTGCTTGTTGCGTTGCTTCCATTTGTTTAATGAGTGCAGCACATAGGTGCATCTCCTTTTTGCACCTCTCACCATCATGAACACGAAACTAAGAACGGAGATTACGACGCTGGTAATCATTAAAGCAAGTAGAATGAGGGCAAACTTGCTAGTTTTGTGAACAAGGCTGACCAGTCCTTTCTGTGGCACGGCCAATGCGTAAACCTGAACCAAAATACGATTCAGTTATACATAGTATAATTAAATTTGTTACAATAATCATGAGTTTAGTGATATTTCTGAAATAATAATCACTGAGCTTAGTGATAGTTGAGACAAGAACTATACATACCGATTTTACGCCGGCGATTTCAAGCAGTGAACAGTAAAATTATAATCCGTTCCGCAATTTTGACAATATTGGTGATGGCATTACCAGGTGCGCATGAAACATATTCAACGTGACTTAATGTTGACCATTTGTCTTCTTCAACTGTAAGGAAATCGAATCATGAGTAACGATCATACGAGTGTTTGGGAGCCCTTCAACCAGCACTTCCCCATCGATTGTAGTCATGGACAAGCTCCCACCAAAAAGATTTATACCAGCAGTGTAGAAATCAGTTATTGCTTTAACTGGAAACCCCAAAGAGACAGCCCCTCTAATTCCTCTTACACTACTGTGTTAAGAAATAGAGAATTACCAGCTTTATTCCATCCAGTTCCTAA